TGACACGACAAACTGTGCCATGACACGGGAAGTCCCACCGTCAGACGACACACTTTCCTGGGACACGGTACATTTTTAGTGTGACGCGGGAAATTTTCAGAAAACGGGAAAGAAAACGCATTAAGGGTTTACGCGGAAAAGACACGAAATGTCCCGTGTCACGGCAGACCTCCCGTGTCACAGGAAATCCCACCGTCAGACGAGAAGGATTCCCGTGACACGGTGGCAGTCTGCCGTGGCGCGGGAATTTCCAGTCTATTTTCCGTCTAAATACATTTTTAACCCTAATTTCATTCGGCATTTTAAGTGCCAATTGATAATTTCGGGCCTTTTCTGACTTATTATTATTTGGGCTAAGAAAATAATTAAATAAAAATAAATAAAAGGTTTGGGCCAAAAATAAATAATAATACAATATAATAAAAAAGGTTTGGGCTAAAATTAAATAATAAGTTTAGGCTGAAATTAAAACTATGCTTTTACCAAACATCAAGACCAATCCATGGACTGTTCAAAAATATGAATTTAATTAAATAAGATTTTTTAGAACTCTCGAGATTAAATACCGAACCCGACCAATAGCGGCGATGAAAGGTTGTTCATCATCGAATTTGGTTTTGGGGAGACATTTTTAGGTGTCTACACTATCGATTCCCAGGTAGAGGTTTTTTCTTTGTCAAGGGAGAAGAACCATTGTTGGAAAACGGTTTCAAGAGATAGTGAGAACAGAGAGGGGAAAACCTTCTTATCGATATTCTTAATACTCATTATGGTTTCGAAAGCTCTTAGATGGAAGTAAGGGTTATCTGTTGCCTTGAATTTAGGGATGTCATTGGCACTGAACTTATGCGGAAGAAGTTCCTTGTCCAGCGAGACCCCTTGTGAACTCATGCCCTGAAATTTATAGTCACTAGATAGATTTCTCAAGCTTTCTTGCATGAGGTTCATTTGTTGTTGCTTCACGGATCATCGACCTTGAGGGTGAGGAGCTTCAGTGTTTCAGTCATGGTAACTAGTTGGTTCCTAAGCTCATTGACTTCCTCTTGAGTTGCCATTATCTTTTTAGCCTTCCTCTTTTGACGAATTGGTTTATCGAAAAGTGAAACTTAAATAAAGAGGTTGTCCTTGATTAATCGCCCTTCTCTCCTCGACCAAGTACTGTGTAAAAGGAATTTGTGGATATTCATTGTTAATTATTTGACTCAAGCTTTATTTGACATGCAATGGATGGAGGAAGTGAAGAAAAATGGAATAGAATGTGAAGAAGAATGATGGAGATGGAGGGATATGAAAAGTTAGGAATAGAATGTACCCCCCAACTTAAATGACCGAAAAAAAAACCGACTCACGCATGAACCTAAGACATGGTCATGGTGACATGTACTCAAAGTGTGTGCTAAGACTAGTGAGTAGGTGACATGTTAAGACTCGTGTCATGACCATGTGGCTAGACTATGTGACTAGACTCAAGCAAAGACTAAGTTAAGACTTCATGTATATGCATTAAACTTGAAGACTGTGGTATTTTAGTCATAACTTTTGATCTGTGACTCTGATTTGGATGAAACCAACGCCAAATTAAAGAAAAAACTCCGGCTATGACCAAAACAAGTTGACGTTTGTGCAGTATACGGGAATAAAAATCCGGGTTGACTTAAAGGAACTATGACTCTATTTTATGCTTATTTATTAGCTCAAATTAATTAATTAATTAATTAAACAAACTCCTTTAGTCATTAATTAGTTTATTTAGTCTTAACACTAGTCAAACAAACAGTTAGGAAAAATCACATAGAGTATGCACAACAAATAATACACAATTAGTCAAGTAGGCACAATATGATGCAATGAGTTTGCAACCTAACCATGGCTCTAGTTATCTAAAGTTTGGGATATGGTTTAGTCAATATAGGGTCCATGGTTAATTGTCCGGATGCACCGCGCGGAAGCCTAACCGGGAAGAGTCGAATGGATGGGACACCGCGAGTTTTAGAAAAAAAAAAAACTCGCTTCCATGGTTTCGTGAATTCAACATTCTCGGATGTACCCTTTGTTGCACGGAGCGTTCAATCGGGTAGATGGAGCATGAATTCCTAGAGGGTTATTTCCATATGTAGAACACATATGGGTTTCGGAAAAGTGAGAAAAAATTAAATCAGGAAGTAGGATCGAGCAAACAATACAAAAAATTGGTCGAAATTAGAACGCATATTTCTGGCTCGGTATTGGGGGAGGTTGGCGCCAGCAATCAGAGACTGGCGCCAGTTTTTAACTGTAGCGCCTGGCGCCAATACTGACGTCTGGCACTACGGCTAAAAGTCTGGCGTCAAGCTGTGGCCCCTGGCGCTACTTCCCACATGCCTCAGCAGCTTTCTGTGCTGGATAAAATTTTCCAGTTTCGCGCGGTGTTATTTCGATCCTAGTTGTGAAAGATATTTCTCAAATTTCCTACGTGTAAAATCCTATGTTTTTAACTCATTACGGATGGTCATTCCAATGAGATCTTCTTTTATGCATATGGCAATAATGTTAATCAAAATTACGCACATGAAATACTTAGAACGTTTCGAGTCTCATCCACTCATTCTAAATCATTGCCGAAACAAATTCAGGAATTAAAATAGAAATCCTCCCCAGTGGTGTCGCCAAAAAACTGTTGGGAATAATTTCAAGCATTAAACCCCTAGCTTGAACCCCAATGTGATCATATACTAAAGTACGGTGGCGTCCAAAGGGAAAGAAGATAGAGTAAAAGAGTCGCCAACAAGTTTTGGGAACTTGTAAACCGTTCACAAGGTGAATGTTACACCCCTTAACGATCCAAGAGATCGTCAACTCCATAAGGTCTTGAACCAAATAAGGGTTCGGGGATGAAGGTACAAATCCAACCTAAAAGAGATTGAACCTGCCCTAATAATAGGCCTCTACTTTATTCTGATCGTATTCATGTGCGCTTTTTAATTAACATGCAAAAAATAGATTAACCCTAAACCTGTTTAATCTATGTTGGTTGATATTAATGCACAAATAAATCTATTATCGGCGATCACTTGAAATCATAATCACAATTAACCCTAAACAAGATTATTACTTATCTTATTAAGCATTATTACAAGTATAGATTCCCTTTAAACATGCGTAAAAGGTGTGATCAAGCAATAAATAAATAAGCATCAAGCAACATAATAATAATAAAAATCATAACAATAATTATAATCATCAAAATAATAATCATCATCATAAAATTATAATCATAACAATTATAATCATAATCATGTTAATATTAAAGCATAATAAAAATAGCAAGATCCTAGGCATGATACTAACAAGATTAATAACAAACCCTAGCATGTCACTAAGCAATAAAAATCAAATCTTTAACCCTACCATGATACTAACAATCATAAGTATTAGGAAGAACATAGGAAGCATCGCAGGAATCATATTTAATATTAAAATTACCCTAGACATGATACTAGGAATATCATAAGAACAATGTAAACATGATTTCTACATCATAACATCAATAAAACCATTAAAGTACTTACTTTGATGCTTCGTACCTCTTTCTAATAACAAAATACACACTTTAGTAACTTCAAGGAAAATAATAAACAAAACAATTAAATTAAATAATTGAAATAGAGATTTGGGACCAAACCCTCAGAAATTAAAACCTTTCACGTCTAGGGCGAAGACAACTTCGAATATGGCTAGGTGTTTCTAGATCTTATGAATGCGGAATTTTGTATGTGAGAAAAGGCTAGTTTAGAAAAAGAGAGAGAGGGAGAATAATCAAGAAAATCTTGATGAGAGTTGGTGAATGAAACCGGAGTTTTTAATACGTTATTTATAGAGAAAATCAGCCAAAAAGATAAAATATCAAAACAGAGACTTTGGTGCACGTAAAACAAGATTGGCGCACCTAAAACAGAGCTGGCGCCAGGCGCCAATGGCTAGCACCAGGCGCCAATAACTGCCACCAGGCGCCAGGCCTGGTTCCAGGCGACGATTTTATAAATTCACGCGTTTTTGTTTTTATCATATCTTTTGATCCGGAAGTTCAAATAAGGCATATAATATGTCTTTGGAAAGATATTAAAATCTAATTTCCAACCCAATTAGAATCAGATTAAAATATTTTGTAGATAAAAATATATGGCCAAAATAGTGGAAGGATTTCAGTTTTGGATAAAGTTTCATGTCTCATTCATATCTTTTTCGTTATAACTCGGATTTAATAATATAATATATCGTTGGAAAGATAATTTCAAGATCTATCCAACCATGTAAAATGTGGATAAATATTATGAGGCATGGAAATAAAATCTGAATATATTCCACTTCGTACAAAACAAGGATTCTTAAAAGGAGTAGTTTTATTCAATTTCAAACTCTTTAAAACATAATTATCAATCCTAACTCCATTAGTATTTAAAATAACCTTCTAGAGTATTCTAAAAGACTATAATCAATCCTAATAGCTTTAGGAATGATAATTAATAATAGGCCCTCCTCTAGATCATTGAGCCGCATATAAAAATCAAACCGGGCCCAGTTTATTATTTTGGCAATAACTTCCTCGATATTCATCGGAATTGGGCTTATAAAATATCGTTGGAAAGGTCTTTTCACACCCCATCCAACTACACCATTATTGGATCCTTATCATGGACCAACCAAACTGGATTGACTATTTTCTTAAAATAAGTTTTCAAAAACAGAGATAAGAGAAAAGAATTAAAACTATCTGCAACACTAGACTTTCCACACTTTCGTTTCATTCGATTATGATTCGACGTGAAAGGTACTCATCACTGGGATTGGTTTTGGGGAGACAAAAATGGGTGTCTACAATAGCTCATTGAGATTTTTTAGATTCCAAAATCCCTCATCATTTTGCATGCCATCAATGAAATTTCCAAGTAAATGATCAAAATACATTAAATCACTACTTGAAAATTCATTAGGATACAACTCGACAAGTCGAATCAATTTTGCTATGTCAAATGATGCAAATCGATTAGAAGGATCAAAAGAAGACATACATATGAGTAACTGTTGGCTTTTCTCATTAAACCGATTTTCAATCTCGTATGAGTAACTCTTGGCTTTTCAATCTCTTTTAATTGCAAATCAATGACACCAAGAAAAATCTCAACTTGAAAATGATGAAGATTAGGCACTCTTGGTGTATTACCACAAAACATCCTTCTACCCGGTTGAACATAAAAACCCTCCATGTTAGGAATCTCAATTTCATGCTTCTCCATAAATGAAGTAACTTTATTCAAGTGAGCATCCCATCCATTATCTCTTAACCTTTGCAAACTCCTCTTAGTTACCCCAACCAAATTCATAGCATTCACAATATCTTGATCACTCCTTTGCAAGGCCAAGTTCAACCCATTTGTGATCGCAAAAATAGACACCATCAAGTGTGCAACAAAAACAAAATCAAAAGTCATCAACAATTTTGTTATTACACATGCTTTGTTTTGGCCGTCTTTATCAATAGAAGAATTCGCAATTTCATCAAGTGACTCAAGAATAGGTTGGTATAATTCAAGAACATTCAAGATTGTTTTAAAGTGTGATCCCCATCGAGTGTCACTCGGTCTTTTCAAGCTAAGCTCTTGATTTAAACCAGTTCCTGTTTCAAGTTCACCTAATGACAAAGCCTCAACAACACGTTTCTTTTGTTTTTCTCTAAGAAATTCTTTCCTCTTAGGTGAACCACCAACAAAATTCAATAGTAGAGGAAGCACATCAACAAATAACCAATTGCAATCATTGTTCTTTTTAGCAACGACAATAACAGTTAATTGAAGCTAGTGAGCAAAACAATGAACACAATATACTTGTTTAGTTTCTTGAAGGATTAAAGATTTAAGACCATTAATTGAACCTTGCATATTACTTACACCATCATAACCTTGACTACAAACATTAGAAAGACTTAAAGAATGCTCCATTAGCATTGATTCAATAGCATCTTTAAGAGTAGCAGAAGTAGTATCAGGAACATGCATAATGCTAAGAAAGCGTTCTTTTACTTCTCCTCTATTATCAACATATCGCAAACAAAGATCTAATTGTTCTTTATCCGATATATCTGCAGATTCATCAGCCAATATAGCAAAAAAACCATCACCTATTTCTTCAATTATTGCTTTTGTTGTCTCCCTAGCACATGCATTCATAATTTGCTTTTGAATAGTAGGAGCTATCATTTGACAATTTTGAGGAGCATTTTACAACACAACATTTTGGACATCAACTCTATCCATCGCATGAAATTTTAAAAGTTCAAGAAAATTACCCTGATTTAATGAAGTTGTGCTTTCATCATGGCCACGAGCAGGCAGTCCTTGAAGTACAAGCCACTTCAAACACTTCACAGAAGCTTCTAAGCGAATTTTGTATTGCCTTGTGAACTCCTCAGTTTGCTTAGAAAAGTTAGAAATAATAGAACCCCTTTGATTTTGGAAATCATAAAGGGCACCCATAACTCTATTGTGAATGCTATTAACACCACCTACATGTTTCCTTAGTGCCTCGGGTTTGCTCCAATTTCTGAACCCCTCACTAACAAAAGCATCGAATCCGACATTGTCACTCTTGAACAAATATCAAACAAAGCAAAATGCAGCATCCTTTTCAACACTATACTCTAGCCAAGGTCTATTATCTTCAAACCACTTTAGGTTAAATCTACAAATTTTTTGCCCAAAAGGTCTAAAAGGAAAGTCAAAGGTTTCAGGTTGACAAGGTGATCTTTGATTGTACTCTCTTCTAACTACATCCCTGTCATCTGGATGAAATTCAATCATTTTTCTCCTTTTTCACGGATCTTGAGGAAGGTTTTCTACATCAGTTGATGTTATTCTTGCTTGATCAGTGAAAGCATTTGTGCAAGGATTTGAGGTGCCGACAACATTCTCTATCTCTACTTCCTCTTCATGTTCTTAAGAGATGGGAAAATTAGTTGAGGGAGATGAATTTTGTTGGCTAGGATGATTTTTTTTGGCTAGGATGATTTTGTAGTGCAGGTGAATTTTAATGACTAGAAGGAGGGTTTGGGAAAGAATTTTCTCCACTTTCTCTTTGTGTTCTTTTTGAAAAAAAAAGCTTGCAATACTTCTTTCTTGTGTTCTTTTCATGATTTTGAAAATATTGCATATACTTTATTAAAGATTTAGAGCAAGTTTTATTGTAAAAATTTTACAAGTTTACAAATTACAACAAACAAGTTATAATTCATCAACTAACATAACTTTAATCTAATTAGTCAATGTCAAATTGTCAACAAATTAACAACAATTACACAACTCAATAGATAAAATAACTTAAATAATCATAATTGAATCACTGCCCACTTAAAGTAAACAATAAGCAACAAACTTATAGGCTAACAAGTAACAATTAATACCCAACTAAACAATTAGCAACAAACAATTAGCAATAAACAATCACTACCCATCTAAACTCTAAAACAGTAACAAACTAACAAATTAAGAAATAAGAATGGTATAAATGTAGAATTCGTCAAACACTCAAACATTCATTGATTCATACATTATACATAACAATAATTTAATAAACAATTAGCAAATAGCAATTAGTAATTAATAAAGATTAATAACAAATTAACAATTACTTACGAATATATACTTACCTTTTGAAATTAAGATCTAAAAGAGGCAAAGAGCAGCAGCCAGCAGGGCCGAGTGCGGGCTGTGCGGAACTCGGAACTGGGCTACCGGCGTGATGGACTAACGACGTCCAGCGGGGCAGCGACGAACTGGGCGTCTGGGCAGGCGAGGCAGCAGACCAGCATTGAGGTTGAGTGCGGCTGGGTGGAAGTGGGAAGTTAGGAAGTTAGGGTTTTAACTTTGAAAAGGAAATATAAAAGAGAAGAGGAAGACTTCCCTTTTCCCGTGTTTTTTTCTGAAAAAAAATTAATTTTTTTTTGGGGGGTAGCACGTGCCCCCCCGAGCCCCTACGTGGGTCCGCCACTGTTTACCATATTGGTAAGCAATGTTGACTATTTTCAAGTGGAGTCATGAATGAGCATATGGGTGTCCCGGGATTTGCTTTACCTAGTTTAGAATTGTTGGTCTTGTCTTTATTTTGAGTACTCATAACAATAAATATTAATAAAAGAAAGTTGAGTTTTCGCTGCAAGTTTCGTTATTAAGTAAAATATTTTGAGTAGTCTTGCGTAATCACGCAGGAGTAATACGCCCAAGTCTATCTCTACGGTATAATTATACGTATTATATTAGATTGTTCCGAAATGCACGAGTAGTTTTCAATGATCTAGTGTTTATAGTTTTTACAAATATACAATTAGAGATATCTATACTTAGTATTTAAAAACTCAAACCACCATCATTCATATGCCACATGTCCTCAAAACTTATCCATATGCCACATGTCCTTACAACTCACTCATATGCCACATATTACTTCCCTTACCTTTTTAATATTAAAAAATTAAATTAAAAATAGGAAAATTTTAAAATTACCACCCAAAAATGTAACCATTTTCAAACTAGCCACCCATTAAATTTTTTATTTTAAATTACCTCCCCTTAAATTAAATAAATGCTTACATTACCACCCATTTCAAAAATCCGGTGGATTTTTCGTTTGTGGGCCCCACCTAACACTTATTTTGACCCTTTTGACTGATTTTTTTTCCCGATTTTTCTCTTTAAAAACGCTCTCCTAACTTCAATTTACATTTTTTCTCTTTGAAATTTGGTTGAATTTGGTGATGAAATTGTAAATTAAAGTAAAGAGAAAAATCGGGGAAAAATAAGTCAAAAGGGTTTAAATAAGTGTTAGGTGGGGCCTACAGACGGAAAATCCACCGGATTTTTTAAATGGGTGGTAATCTGAGCATTTATTTAATTTAAGGGGTGGTAATTTAAAATAAAAAATTAAACGGATGGTTAGTTCGAAAATGGTTACATTTTTGGGTGGTAATTTAAAAATTAACCTTAAAAATATTACATAATGTTAAAAGTCTTTATGCGTAACTTGCACATTTAAGTAAGAAAATGAAGTGTTTCATTTCTACCATGATAGAATAAAGTAGAATTAACTATTATATAAACAGATATATGAAGTATAATAAAAATAGTCTTTTTATCTCTTAAACTTAAAATATAGCATAAACTAATACGAAGTATGTCATTTCATATTCTACAATATTCATGTATATATACTTAACTAAATTCCTTCATATATTCTTCCACAATTCCACCCTCATTTTTTTATAAGTTTTCACAGCATTCACCTCAAAGTCATGTAACAAAAACTTCGTAATTTCAACTATTGAAAAGCATACATTTATATAAAAATAACATAAGTTATAACCCTTGCATTGAACGGGCCAAAATGCTAGTTACACTATAAAATTTTTGTCTCAATTCACGTAAAACTACATACAATTATTGCAATTATTTTGTTACGGATGGAGTATAATAGAAGTGTTAAGTATAAGAAGGGAAGGAAGTTTTCAATTGACAAAAAGTGGTACATGATACGTACCATGTAGCAATAAATAGCGCAGCATACCAACCTTGTGAAGCACTAGTCTTAGGGCATAAAGCACTCTATAAAATTCACATCAGATTAGAATATTTGTTGGGTATTTTTTTTGTTGGATTTAAAAGTACTCTATAATAACTCACAACTAACAAAGAGTAATAACAACGAGCAAAAACAAGCAAGAGATCTAAAATTTTGTTGGGTATTTTTTTTTTTTGGTTTTTGTCTCAACTTTCTTCATCTATAATTTCTTTTGATTTGGTATGACAAGAAGCAAAGGTTTTGGGTAAGCTACTTTGAAGAATTGATTTTATTTTGGTTTCTTCATCTAAAATTGATTTTATTTTGGGATTTTGTTTAGGTGGTTACTTTGAAGAATTGAAGAAAGTATGAGAAGAAGCAAAGGTTTTGGGTAAGCTACTTCTCCTTTTCATCTTTCACATATTTTTTCTTTCTTCTTCTTTCATCTATCATTTTATTTTATAGTAAATTATTCTTGACAATGCATGTTGTGTTGATGCAAAAATTCTATAATTTTTTTTTATTTTAATTATCTATTCATTTATTCTTTTGGGGTGTTTAGAGAAGACTAAGTTTGCAAAATTTATTTGAACTTACATTCAACTAAAAAAGATTAATCGAATTTCTCATGACAAAAAAAGGGAAAAAAAAAAAGAAATTCAATGAAAAGTTAAAAAAAATTGTATTTCTTTGTAAAAAAAAAAAAAAAAATTGTATTTCACGTTTTCACATTAAGAAAAGTTCTTACCATGGGATCCCTATTTTTTTAAGGGTTTAGGTACTTCAGTTTTTATTATAATTTTTTTTTTTTGAAAAATAATTTAATCTTTAAATTGTAGGTATTTTGTCTACCACTAACTAAATTGTACTCCGTATCATTATATTTTGAGGCTTTCAAAGTAAATGATTTGCAATGGTAATAATTATTTTAATATAATTATGTAGATTTAGGATTTATCTATGATATGAGTTTGCCATCATATATTGTGCTTATTTAACTATTTTCCATTAAAAAACAAAAATAGGTTTTAACTTTATATTTCATGGTACCGTAAAAAAACACAAGGTTTATGTGGGGTAGAGACTAGTACAGTGGCGGATCTTGAAACTTTTTCTTTCAGGGGCCAATAATTTTTAATATAAGCATATAAAAATTATTTACAAATTCAGTGCAATTTTATATTATAAATGCTAAGGTGTTAAACAACTTGTTAATTGATAGATACTCATATTAATAGAAAAATATATAACGACATATCGTAGGTATGAAAGCAAAAACTTACTTTATACTTTTAAGGGAGTAATTTATCGTCCTTGATAACGTCTTTTCGCCTAAAATTATCAATTATTTTCTAGTGCTCAGAGAAACCAATAAAACATAAGAAGTAGAAATTTATTTTAACAACAAAAAATGTTTAACAATTGTTTAAGGAAGATTGAATAAATAAATGTGGAGTAAGAAAAAAGGGGAAAGGGTTTGTGGGTCAATGAGTTGTCAGTACTTTTGGAAATTGGGTTGTAGGGTATTTATACTCTATAGTTAGTTACCTTTTCTACGCTACTAGGTAACTAAGAAAAACAAATGGGTTTTTTTAATGGGCCTTTAAACAAAGTACAGTATAATTTTTTTTTTCCCACAAGTTATCAGGGGCCAAGCCCTCTTCAGCCCTAACAATAATCCGCCCCTGCTTAGTACCCTTCTTGGTGCACTTGGTGTTTTTGTTGATGGAATTGTTGTTGTTGGAATCGTTTTTGTTGTTGCTCTTGACCTTGTTGTTGTTGCTCTTATTTCTCTTATTCTTCACCGGGAAGCCAAAAAAGGTCCCTTGGAAAGACCTAGTTGCCTTCATCGTAGATGCCCGTGATCTCTTGGTCGGGGAGGTAGGCATGGTGTTGGACTTAATGATTTTTATGATGACACAACCTCACTTACTTACAAACTAATAAGTGCTTGATTGTTTGAGTGTGTGCTCAGTTGCAAAGACCAGGAGAATTAAGTGTCTTGTAAAGATACCATGAGGAACAAGAAGGCTAGAAACAGAGCTATCCATAAAGAAGAGTTCCTTTGCAGGAACTGGTGCTTCAGAAATGAAGACTTGAGAAGAGAAGGTTCCCCTCAAGGACAAAAGCTTTAGAGAAGAAGCTTCATCAGAGAAGAGAAGTTCCTCCCAAGGAACAGAAGCCTCGGAGTAGAAGCTTCATCAGAAAACATGGAGACTAATATATTTTTATATTTTAGGATTTATGTAAGTATGAGATATTAAGTTGCACTCGAAAATTCTGTGTGGAATTGGTCCAAAAGATAAAATTGTGCATGCTAGTTTTTAGGAAAACTGTTGCTTTCCAAAACGCTAAACTTTTTTCCAAATTAAAAGGGATTTTATTTTATTTCTGATTTTCTAAAATATCTTCTGAAAATAAAATCTCCCACGTTTTCTAAAAACTTGCGGCCTACTCCTCCATGATTTTCTTCAAGTCATGGTCTTGCACATTGAGGAGTTCATGTTTCCTTAATTTTAGGAACATGATCTTCTTAGTGGGTTGGAGTAGTGGCGTAGTGGATTTGCTGCACAAAGAAGTTTTTCGTAAACGAATTTTGGTCTATAAATAGGTGTTGATTTCAGACGGAAAAACTCACCCTTGTTCACATAAGTTTTCTAGCTTTTAATTCGAGTCAAGTGTCAATTCCACACAAGTCAATTAGAGTGTTCTTAATGTTCTTATACTAGAGTTTGTTTTTCTTTCGATTTGTAATTTGGGGAATGGGGAAGTTTGAGTGAACTTCTGTGTATGAGAAAGAGAAGTGAGAAGAGAAGTGAGAAAGAGAAGAGAGAACAGAGAAGTGAGAAGAGAGAAAGAGAAGAGAAGAGTGACAAGTTGGGTGACTTGTCCCTTAGGGTTTCAAGTTTGTAGAGGAACTTGAGTTTGAGTCTTTAGTTTGTAATAGGACCATTTCCCTATTCTAGTGAAGATTCTTTTCCCAAAATCCCAAGTGGTTGTGGCTTTTCTCCTTGTTAGGGCCAAGGAGTTTTCAACGTAAAAATCTCTCTTGCATCTTTATGTTCCTTTAGTTAATCTTTCAGTTTCTTTAGCTTACTTAATCTTAATTCCGCAAAAAGTTTGGCTAAACTCTCATACTACAATTCAACCCCCCCTTCTTGTAGTATTCTTTGAAACAACACATGGGGTTGCCCACTCACCAACCACAAGTATGGATGGGCCCATTGTATATTCATGACCTAGTTCATCGTCCTCAATGCTTACATATCTACTTGTATTGGCCCTGGACAAAAATCCTCATCTGCAAAATCAAGGTTAAGAAAACCAGCAATAATGGTAATCATTCTACCTATGGTAATGTTACCGGTTCCCATGGCAACATCATCAAGGTGGTCAACAAGCCAAGCACCTACATCTAAGGCAGTGCTCCCCTCACTGAGGGTGCCAAAGGAAGTAAAGCTCCCTTGTGGACACCACCCCCGAACTATCACCCCTAGCAAACGTCATGTTTGCTATAGTCCTCTGAGAAAGCCTAAAAGCGGGGTGAATAACGGTTGTGGCGTTATCGGACCTAGGGTTGTACTAAAAAAGGCCCGTGATTTTTCTCCAAAACTCTCCCTCATTGTAGTTACGGGGGTACCTTTCCTTGGGCCCTATGGTTCCGGCAGTAGACCACCCAAATGCTTGATTAACCTTCCTAATGTTTCATTTTATGGTTTGAGTTCATGAGTTGGAAGGTCATGTAACGGGGAGTTCAGTTCATGTCTCGGTGCACGTAAAGGATGGAGAGGAACTCAAAAGTTTATCTCTAGTAAGTTGGGGCGGAAAATCCTAACCAAGAAGCTAGGCTGGCACCCTCAAACAATATTCTCATATCGTCCCCTACCCCTAATTTATTTGCCACCTCGTTGTTGTAGAACCTAGTTGGCCTAACTCACCTCCTACTATTCTTAACAAAGTTGGACAAGAAGGCCGGGTCATTAAACACAATCCTCATTGTATCCACTTATGGTGGATCAACGGGAGGAGGAGGCGATGGGTTTCGGTACCTAGCATCGGTGTTTCTAGGTCGGTAATTTGTGAAAATTTGTTGAATTTGGGTGCAAATTTAAGTGTTTGATGGAGATTTGAGTGAGTATGAAGGAAGAGGATGTAGAAGTTAGAGTGAGAAAGAGGGGAAATTGTGGAGAGAGAAAGGGGGTTTGAATTTTTTTTTTAAATGAGTAAAATGTCGTGCTTAATACTCCTTAAACCCAGGCTGCACGGGCGTGCAATGGTTGGCATGGGCGTGCAGCCTGGGTCAGAAAGTTTTGAACTTTCTGCCTGACCGAGCACGGCCGTACAGCCTGGGCAAGAAAGTTTTGAACTTTCTGCCTGACCGAGCACGGCTGTGCAGCATTTGGCACGAGCGTGCAGCTTCTCTTGCACGACCGTGTAGAACTTTGAGTTTTGCTTTGAAACATTCTGCTTGCCTCTGTCTGACCCTGCACGGGCATGCGATGTTCTGCACGCCCGTGCAGACCTGATGCTGCACGCTTTCACCTTTTTTTTTGAATAATAGCAATAAGGAATAACGATAATAATAAAATTATTATCATCACCATTATTATTACAGTTTTTTTCACCATAGACCCCTGATTTTTTTGTTTATTCACCATATACCCATGATAATTTTCAAATTAACCATATAACCCTGAGTTTAAACAAAAATTCACCATATATCCCTAATGACAACAAGATGAATGGAATATGATTAATTATGCATCAAAACCACCTTATATCTCTCTCCCCCATCCTTGAAACCACTCCTTTCCTTAGTCCTATCCTTGAAACTATTCCAAATCTCCATAATAATATCTATATGATCAATTTTGAGGATGAGAAAAAGAAATTTAGGGTGGTTTTGGGGGTGGAAAAATGAAATGTGGGTGATTTCGAAGGTAAAGGAATGTATTTAGGGTGATTTCGGGTCATAATTAACGCTAATGATTGACAAAGTTAACAATTATGGGTATGGTGTATTTTTGTGAAAACTCGAGGGTATATGATGAATTTTAAAAAGTTCATGGGTATAAGGTGAATAAAGAAACAACTTAAGGGCATATGGTGAAAAACCTGTTATTATTATTATTATTGTAACACTTCTCTCACAAATCTTTTATATAACCCTTTCAAGCATACCTACAAGTGTAAAAAGAAAGGAGTTATTGAAAAAAAAATAGATTGAGAGAAGCAAAAATGGGAAAGAATTAAGGGAGAAGGGTGAGAAACTCGATCGGGTTGCCTCCCGTTAGCGCTCTTTATACATCACTAGCTTGACGACACTCCGATCACATTAATTGGAGTTGTTAAATTCCTTCACTTTGATGGAGTGAAGCACACCTTTCTTGTCACCCTCATAATAAACCCTGAGGCGTTGACCATTCACCTTGAACGTTTTGATGCTCTCACTCCAAAATTCAATTGAGCCATTGGGAAATACCTTAACCACTTGAAAAGGGCCACTCCACCTTAATTTAAGCTTTATGGGAAAAATCTTTAACCTTGAGTTGTAGAGAAGAACCTTATCACCTTCTTTGAAGTCCCTTTTGATGATGTATTTGTCATGAAATTCCTTTGACCTTGCCTTGTAGGAGCTTGCACTATTGTATGCATTCATTCTCAATTCTTCTAATTCGTGCAAGTCTAGCATTCTCTTTTCTCCGGCACTTTTGAGATCAAAATTCAAGGCTTTGATTGCCCATTGAGCCTTGTGCTCCAACTCTACGGGCAAATGACAAGACTTCCGATAAATCAACTTGTAAGGAGTAGTTCCAATGGGAGTCTTAAAAGCCTTACGGTATGCCCACAAGGCATCATATAGCTTTGCCTCCCAATCCTCCTTGCTTATAGCCACGGTATTCTCAAGAATGAGCTTGATTTCTCCATTTGATGCCTCCATTTGGCCGCTTGTTTGATGATGGTAGGACAAACCAACCTTATGGTGAACTCCATACTTAGCCAATAAAGCCTTGAATGTTCTATGAACAAAATTAGACCCTCCATCACTTATCGCATATAATCGCCCATATTTTCAACCTAATTAAAGCATATTTATTTATTATTTATACATATATTTTTATTTTAATTTTATAGTATGAATTATTTTGATGAAAAAGTAACAATATTTTTATAATTAATAAGCTAAAACTACTAAGTTTAATTTAAATTATAAGCCTCTCTTAACTTAGTAGCCCAATATTTAATTCCTACTCAAGCCCAAATTACACAATTCTTACTCCTAATAAAATTAGGAAACTAAAGCCCAAATAAAACTCTAAAAATCCTCAAACCCTTCTCCCTCTCACGTAAAATTCATTCACCCTTTTTCCTCCTTCTCTCCTCTTTCACAGCTTCACAACAACAACAACAACAACAATAACAAAAAACTGAGACTGTCGGCTGCCGCTGCCCAGCCGCCGACGCACCACCTCCGTCGCCACCCAGCTGACCGGCGACCACCACAACCTACAATAGTCCGCCCCCATTTCTTACTCCATTTCTTTACTTCTTTTTATTTTATAAATTTGATTTAAAGTTCTAATCTTTGTTTAATTTTGATTCTAAATTATTATTATGGGTTGATATTATATATGGGTTATAAAAGATTATAAATTTATGAATTTTTATATGTTTAAATTATTATACAAAATTTCAGATTTGTTTAATTAAGAAAATAAGGGTTTAAGAATTGATTTTTCAAGTTTTAGGGCTTGAAAACATGCTAATCAAGTTACCAAATCATACTATGTTTAACTTACGTTACAATATAATTATTTTGATCATATATAAATTTTTAGATTATTAAATTTTTAATTTTTATGAACAAGTTGTGTCAATTTTAAATTTTTATGCTTATAATCTTATAAAATAATTATTGTGGACATTTCATGATTAAAAGGCCTTGAAATTTAAATTCTAATCTCTAGAATAAATTTTCAGATTTTAGGTTATTGTTTTTGAAGCTTCTAATTGCATTGAATTGGTGAATTTTTTATTTTAAAGCCTAGTAACTTAATATATAATATTGGTAGTTCAAATATTACTATGATTATAAGATTTCATGTATAAAGTAAATTTTCAGATTTTTATAAAGCTTTAAACTTGCTGTAATTTCATGTACAAGGGTGTATTTTAAGGTTTTTATGAAGGAAATTTAAAGAACTATATATAAGATTTTGATTTTAATTAAATGAGATGTTCTAAAGTGTTGTTTAATTGGATTTTGAAGGTTTTAAGTAAGTTAGTATTGTTATAAATTTGGTTGTTTGAGTATTGATTGAAATCTTATTGTTGGACTTTATAGAAGGTGATTTCTAGTGGTAAAGTGGCACAAAGGATTGTTTATACGAGGTACGTACGAGTTACAAAACCTTGCCGTTAGATGCATGTTTAGGGATGTATCGAGAACCTAGTATCATGTATAGAGAAACTGGCTAAATTGTTTAGTTATACATTGTGATTTCCGTATATTGTGTATGAGGCATGTTTGAGATATAAGTATATGACTACTGTTGTGGGTGATGTATAAGTGATTGTCTTATCAATTGGATATGTTATGATTAGTTAAAGGTTCTGGATTCTTGGTTGTCTATAAGTGGAATTAATTTTGATAATGGTTCCGTGAGGTTAATTTTTAATACTCTTTCATGAATTAATTATGATTTGAGTAGAGGGAGTTTATTAAAGTCTTTTAAGACGAGGTTCAGGATTTGAAGTCCCATATGCACTTAAGGTGTTTATACACCGAGGTAGTATAGGATTCAATACTAAATATTATTTTCCACTAATAAATCAAGAATTGAATTGAAAATTTGGATTTCTTAGAATAATGTGATATTTGATTGATTATATTGTTTTGCATATGAGTCATCACCAATTCTAAACTTGTAAATCACGTAAAGTACAAGATGGATGAGCAATAAAACGCTAGATTTGTGCCCATCTGGAGTAATGATAATCAGGGGTTGGGGTACACGGGGTATTAGCCGTGCACTTTTCTAGAGGCCGTCTAATATACGAGTCTCTTATTTCAAATAATTTTCAAAAACTAGGAGTTAGATGAGATGTCATACTAGTTACGATCACAGAGTCGCGCCCGTGGTCGTTGGATGTTTGATTGATGTTTCCGAAAGGAGGCATGGGGTTTTTCTTTTATTGATGTTCCAAATGGAGCATGGGATGGACAAACTTGTCTATTCTTAATCCAATGATTATAATGAAATTAATAAATTGTCATTAAATAGAGGTGTCTTAGTACGTAGTGTTTGGGTCGTTAATTAAATTGTATGTCATTTAAATTGTATGTCATGATTGATTATGCTTGTATGTACTCAGTTTTTCTGATTACGTACTTTTGAGTGTCTTTATTTGGTCATGGATTTCGCCTTTCAATGACCCTGTGACAATCCAATTTTTACATTTGTAATATTGGGGAGCCGACTTATCACAGGTGTTTACATAGTTTGGACTTGTATCAAGGTGGTGGGATTTTGAGTGGAGAGTTGGTTATTGTTGGCAATTTATTTCTTTTCATAAGTTGGAATTTATTTAAAATCTGGTTTTATTTATTTACTACTTTTATTGGGTTTTGAATGAGGGCCTTAATGGTTCCAAGTTGTAAGACTTAATTTGGTTTTGTTCGTTGGTTTTGAAACTTATTTATAACTGATTTAGTTTTACCGCTGCTAATTTCTTATTTAGCCTTAACGTTTGAACACGTGGGGAAAGCACGTTAGTAATTTCCTGGATATTGTTCAGGGTACTCACAAGTTTAAAGAGAAAAATTATTGGGGTGTTACATCACAGCTCGTGGGACGCCAAATCCTGGGAATATGATCTTTTTAAACATCTTCATCACCACCTATGAGTCATTCTTTGGTGATGCAAGAGCTTCCACCCATTTGGACACATAGTCCATCGCTACAAGAATGTAGAGATTACCGTAGGATGAAGGAAAATGACCCATGAAGTCAATCCCCCAAACATCAAACACCTCCAATTCCAAGATCGGATTTTAAGGCATCTCATTCCTCTTTGAAATGTTCCCGGTTCTTTGGCATTTTTCACAAGTCTTCATAAAGACCCATGAATCCTTGAAAAGAGTAGGCCTAAATAATAAACATTGCAACACTTTTTGCCGTCGTTTTGTTTGCTCCCTTATGACCACTACATTGTGATGAGTGGCACATACGGATCACATCTTGTATTTCATCATCGGGAACACATCTTCTCCAAAGATTATCTACCCTTATCTTGTACAAAATGGGATCACCTCATATGTACCTCTTTGATTCATGCTTCAATTTTCTTCATTGTTGAGGGGTAAAATCCGGCGAAATTTCCTCACAAGACAAGTAATTCACTATATCGGCATACCAAGGTAATGACTTTGCTTGGATATCATACAAAACATCATCTTTTAGCTCATTATTAACCGAGAGTTTATCAACATCTTCATCTCGGATCTCCAACCTTGAAAAATGATCCGCTACCGAATTTTTCGTCCCCTTCTTGTCTTTCACCTCTATAAAAAAATCTTGCAAAGCAAGCACCCATCTTATCAATCTAGGCTTTGAATGATTTTTGGAAATGAGATACTTGATTGCCGAATGGTCTGTACAGACAATGGTCTTTAAACCCAAAAGGTAGGAATAGTTGTGGTGAAGTTCTTTTGTGCATCATTCAATGTTTTGCTAGCATCACCACGCGCACCCTCTTTTATTTATTTTGCCCTAGTATGGCACCAACCGTTGTGTCACTTGCATCACATACACATTAATTCAAAGGGGAGGCTCCAATCCGGAGCTTGCACTATTGGTGCCGAGATCAATGCATTCTTCAACCTACAAAATGCATCTAGACAAGCATCATCAAATACAAAATCACTCTCCTTTTGAAGAAGTGTAGTAAGAGGTTTGACTATTTTATAGAAGTCCTTGATGAAACGGCGATAGAAACCGGCATGCCCCAAGAAAGATCTCACCCCTTTCAAATTTTTAGGGGGTAGGAGCTTCTCTATTACATCCACCTTAGCCCTATCAACCTCAATCCTCTCATGAGAGATCTTATGGCCAAGAACAATGCATTCTTGGACCATAAAATGACATTTCTCCCAATTGAGGACAAGGTCGACCTCTTCAAACTTTTTTAAACATCGTGTGAGATTAATTAAACCATCATCAAAAGAACAGCCCCCTACCGAGAAGTCATTCATAAAAACCTCCATTTCTTTTTCAATCATATCCGCAAAAAATTCCATCATACATCATTGGAAAGCAGCGGGGCATTGCATAAACCAAATGACATCCTACATGAAGCATAGGTGCCATATGGACAAGTAAATGTTGTTTTCTCTTGATCATCCGGGTGAATTGGGATTTGAAAGAACCTGAAATAACCATCAAGATAACAAAAATATATACTTGTGAGCTGCTAGCCTTTCCAACATTTGATCAATCAAAGGTAATGAAAAGTGATCTTTCTTGGTGGATGTGTTTAGTCTACGATAGCCTATACACATCCTCCAACCGGTAATGGTTCTAGTAGGGATGAGCTCACTTTTTATTTTTAATAACCTTCATTCCCCCTTTTTAGGGACTACTTGCACCGGTGTCACCCACCCACTACTGGAAATAGTATAAATGATACTGGTGACAAGTAGTTTAAGAACTTCCTTCTTGACCACTTCAAGCATTGGAGGATTAAGCTTTCTTTGTCTTTCAATTGATGGTTTAGCATCATCCTCCAATGAAATTCAATGCATGCAAAGCGTTGGGCTTATACCTTGTAAATCATCAATTTTGTAGCCCAAGTCTTTGCGATGCATCCTCAAAACATTCAATAATTTAGAGGTTTGATCCTCATCCAAAGATGCATTGACAATGACCGAAAAATTAGAATATGGATCAAGAAACTCATACCTCAAGTTGGATGGTAGAGGTTTTAGCTCTACACTTGGACATTCCTTACCATTGTCGTTCATGAGTTCTTTCTTTACTTATTTTTCTCCAATCACAAGGTTTTCTTCTTCCTTGTCCATGGAGATGGAGTCAAGATTCTCCTCAGTTGGCTCCATCTCCATGTCTACATTGCAAGACCTATCTTTGCTTTCAAGTTCACACTCAAGAGAATCATTAGTATTATAAAAATTCCATTGTATGGATTCATTAATAACAATTTTAACAACATCAATTCGCATACAAGCATCCATGTTGGATGGACATTTCATAACTTGGTTCAATTTTAATTCTACTTTCTCTTTTCCAACAAATAAAGACAATTTTTCATGTTTCACATCAATAATAGCCCCCGCTGTAGCTAAGAAAGGCCTACCTAGAATTATGGGGACATTCAAGTCCTCGTCCATATCAAGCACAATAAAGTCCACCGGAATGTAAAGTTTTCCCACCCTATGGGGGACATCCTCTAATTTTCCCAAAGGCATCTTAACCGAACGATCGGCTAATTGAAGGGAAATGTAAGTGGGCTTTAACTCTCCTAGGCTAAGTCTTTTGCACAAAGAGAGGGGCATCAAGCTTATGCAAGCACCTAGATCACACAAAGCACAATCAATTACCATTTCCCCAATAACACATGGAATAGAAAAACTACCAGGATATTCAAGCTTAGTGGGAAACTTATTTTGAATAATTGCACTACAATTTTCCGGCATGTTAATTGTTTCCACAAAGTCAACTTCTCTTTTATTACTCAAAATGTCCTTAAGAAATTTATCATAAGTTGACATTTGTTTTAAAGCATTGGTGAATGGAATGTTAACATAAAATTTTCTCAAGACTTCTAAGAATTTAGCAAATTGATCATCAAGTCTAGACCCGGCAAACCTTCTCGGAAAATGAAGATTTGCCACCTGAAGCGGGATTTCACTCTTTTTTTTTCTTTTTCAACTTCTTTTTCTCTTCTTCTTTTTCTTTTTCCACTCTGATCTCTCCATGGGAATCACTCATTTCAATCACTTTTTATTTTGACTTCTCACCTTCTAAGTCATATTGCATTCCCTTCCCTTAGACTTCCCCCAAGCTTTTCCTACTTCTAGTTACAATGGCATTGGCTTGCTCTCTAGGATCTAGACCTTAACTAGGCAATGAGGTACTAAACTTGCCTTTAAGTGCACTAGCTATTTGGGCCATTTGATTTTCCAACATTTCATTGTAGGTTTGCATTTGTTTGAAGCTTTTCTCTAAGTCATTTGTCTTTTTAGTTTGGGTGTTGAAGAATTGCTCCATCATGCTTTCTAAGTTAGACTTAGGAGGAGGGGGGGCTTGAATTTGGAGTGGTGGTTTAGGAATAGGATCTAGGGTTTACACCTCCATTAAAATCGGGTGGGTTGTGAGTGGAAGAGTATTGGCCTTTTTGTTGATACCTATTGTCATTTCTCTAATTTCGTTGATTATTAGACACATAATTACCAACACCATTAGCTTAACCTTGACCTTGACCACTGCATAGCCCTTGGGTTTGGCCATTTATCCAACCAAAACTGGGTAATGTTTCCATACCTTGTTATAGGTGTTGGAGTAGGGGTCACACCTAGGGTTGGCATGCACATTATTTACTTGTTCCATAGAAGGGGAAGGGGAACTTTGCTCATTCAACAATGGACACTCAGAAGACGTATGGTCTTCACTACCACACACTTCTCAAGACATCAATTGCATATACAAATTATCATTTAAAGAATTAGATGCATGTGAGTTATGGAAAAAGGAAATAGGAGGAGGAGAATATTACATTTGATCAAATTAGAGGACAAAGCATCTAATTTTGAGCTAAGCATATTGATAGCACTAACCTTATACCTTCCTCCTTTTTTAGTAGTGCTTCTCTCATCGTGACTCTGTAGGCGTCGTACGAAGTGCGCCTACATAAAAGCATGTTGTGAATATGCTTGGCACTCATAGGAAGTGGGAATTGACATATACGATTAGGGACAAAAAAGTAGGGAGCCGCCAACAAGTTTTTAAGGAACTTGTAAACCGTTCACGGATCATAAATTGGCAATCACGATAAGGGACAACGATAGGCAACAACGATTGACCCGTGAAGGTTACACCCCATTCATAATCCATGAGATTACTAACTCCATATGGTTCGGAACCACGAAAGGAGGATCGGGGATGATGGTACGAAGTGAGTCATGGAGTCACATTCGCCCGTATTAGCCTCTACTCGATTCTTATATTGAAAAGCATTCCTGTGATCTCAAAGGCATACAAACAATAATTCAATTTGCTCCAAACTATTATTTAACTAAATTGGTTTAACATTAATGCACACATAATTCTAAAAATTTGGTGATCACTTGAATTAATAATAAGATTAAAAGGAATCCTAAACCGGTTGTCCAAATTATCTTATTAGGCGTGATTTGCAATTACATATTCCCTTTAAACATGCAATATGGTGATCATAAAAATAATAATAGAATAAACATTAATATTAAAACCAATTTAATCACAATCCAACAACATAAAATTGTTAGAAAAATAATAATAATAATAAAAGAGCATGATCCTTACTTTGAATCTGTTTGCTTGCAACTACAAAATAATAAACGAGTTAGTAACTTCAAGGAAATAATAAAACAATAACTAAATTAAATTAAATAAAATAAGTTTGATTTTGGGGTCAAACCCTCAAACAATTCTACCTTTCACGCCTTGGCTTAAGGACAGAACCTCGAGTGAAATATGGACTCCTTTGAGTGCTTGAAGAAGGAATTTTGAAGTGAAAAGGGTAGGCTAGTATTTAGGTTAATAGCATAGAAGAGAGAAAATAAGAATAATAAAATTCTCGTTTTTCCGTACATCAGAACTGAGGGGGTATTTATAGGGAAAATGTGCTGAAGGAGTACACGGAACCCTAAAATGATAAAAACCCTAAAAAGGTATCCCGTGACACGGTCAGACTGTACCGTGACACGGTTAGACAGTACCGTCAGACGGTACACTTTCCCGTGACACGGTCAGTTTTGGAGTGACGCGGGAAATTTTCTGAAAACGGAATGAAAAACGCGTTAAGGGTTTACACGGAAAGGACACAGAACATCCCGTGTCACGACAGACCTCCCGTGTCACGGGAAGTCCCACCGTCAGACGGATAGGGTTCCCGTGACACGGTCAGGCTGTACCGTGACACGGTCAGTTCCAGTCCATTTTTCCGTCTAAATTCATTTTTAACCCTAATTTCTTTCGGCTTTTTAAGTGCCGATTGATAATTTCGGGCTTTTTCTTACTTTTATTATTCGGGCTAAAATATGAAAATAATAAAAATAAATAAAATATTTGGGCCAAAAATAAATAATAAAATAATAAAATAAAAAGGTTTGGGCTTAAAAATAATTAATAAGCTTGGGCTAAAATTAAAATTATGCTTTTACCAAACATCAAGACTAATCCATGGACCTTTCAAAAGTATGAATAAAATACGATTTTTTAAGCTCTCTCGGGATTAAATACTAAACCCGACCAATAGTGGCGGTGAAAGGTTATTTATCATTGGGTTTGGTTTTGGGGAGACATTTTTAGGTGTCTACAGAAGCCCCCACTTTGACTGAGTTTGTAGAAACGTTAGTTTCGAAAACGATAGTGAAAGTAGTCGATAGAGACGGAGAATGATTTAAGACGTTCTGCGATCCTAAATCATTCTTTATACGCCGATACCTGCAGAAAAATGTTAGTTCTACAGATAAAAGAGTAAAGGGATAGAATACGTATCTGGCACCAGTGTGTCGGTGACAAACGAATTTGGCAGCATCCTAAGCTTGAAGGAATCCACCGAGTGACATTTTTTGAAATGCTTCCCATGCTTGAGGAAAGCCGACTGAAGAGTTTGGTACCTTTTTAAGCCTGAAGAAAGCTACCGGATGATACTTTCCATGCCTGAGGAAAGTTGACGAACGAATTTGGTGTCATTCTATGCTTGAAGAAATCCACCGCTAATGCCTTCCATACTTGAGGAAAGCCGACAAAGGAATTTTGTGGTTTTCTATACTTGAAGAAAAATCCACTGACGATGCTTTCCATGGCCGAGGAAAGCCGACTTGGCGGTTTTCTATACTTGAAGAAAAATCCACCGGTAACGCTTTCTAAGCCTGAGGAAAGCAGACTTGGCGGTTTTCTATACTTGAAGAAAAATCCACCGATAACGCTTTCCAAGCCTGAGGAAAGCCGACTTGGCGGTTTTTTATACTTGAAGAAAAATCCACCGATAACGCTTTCCAAACCCGAGGAAAGCCGACTTGGCGGTTTTCTATACTTGAAGAAAAATCCACCGATAACGCTTTCCAAGCCTGAGGAAAGCCGACGATTGCTGAAAATTGATAAGTGTATGGTGGTTTGATTATCCCCGAACGTGGGCCGCAGATGATTCACAATTTTAAGCCGATTATCCGACAATATTAAATGCTTAAAATGACGAAAAATAGGCTTTGACGCTTGCCAGGGGTAAAATGGTAATTTTAGTCCCCCTTAAATATCAGTTGGGATTTTCCGCGTAACTGTAGCGAAAAATAATCGCCCAATAAACATGAAAAATCAGCCAAACTAGTCAAAAAGCCAAGAATATTTCCTGACCAAGCTCAGTTTTGCTGCGACACGTCATCAGGTTCCCGTGACACGGTCAGGTATTCCCGTCAGACGGGACTTGTATCCCGTGTCACGGGACTCCTATTTTTTTCTTTTTTTCTTTTTTTTTACTTTTTCGCTGTTTGAACCAGTCAAAGCAACGGCCACTTTTGCTCTTTTTTTGTCCTTTTCTGTATATAAATTTGCGTGCTTGTTTTCACCATTTCACCATTTTACACTTCTTCTTCACACTTGCTTTCACACTTTACCATTCTTGCTTTTTTCTTACCAAAAAATGCCGCGCCACGCTTGAGGTTAACCGCCGGTCGTCGAAGCTCGCCGTGACACGGTAACAGCGACCGTGACACAGTTAGTCTGATTTTTTCTTCTCCCCTTTTTTGTTTTGCTGCGGTTTTTTGGCTACTGTACTGCGCCGCTACTGTTTCTATCCCGGAGCTGCCGCCCAGATTGTCGGAGCTCCGTCAGGCTTGAAGGTCGCCGTGACACGATTAGTCTTGACCGTGACACGGTTAGTCTTGCCCGTGTCGCGGCAGCTGCGCTGGTGGCCGGAACACATTTTCGAGTTTTGGAGTTCGAATTTCACCAATTTTGTTGTAATTTCTCGATCTTCTCTTCATTTTCGACCCTTTACAAACATTCATGTAAGTTCCCTTTGATTTTTGCTTTGAATTTGCTTCACATAAACAATTTTGTGACAAACCCTAAAAAATCAATTTGGGGGTTTTTTATTTTAACGCTTTATGTTGAAATTCTTGCTATGATTTTACTTGTATATGTATACATGTGTGTTTGTGAGAAATTTGAGACAAAAATTGCATGATTTGATGGAGAATTGAGCAAATCACCATTTTTGGGCGCTACTTTGTGAAATAATGTTCATGTTTTGAAATGGTGAAAAAATGGTGGTGAATCTTGTGAAATGATGTGTTGATTCATATTTTGCATATGTACTATATTGTCATGGAGAACATAGTATCATGCGGCTAGGAGAACTGTAGTATTAGTTTGGAGAAACTAAATACCATAATTTTGCTAATTTTTAGCCTTGAGGTAAAAATTTAGCATATAATTCAATAAACAACTAAATAACTTAGGAAATGATGCCAAGTATTTAGATTTTTATTATGATAAATACGCAATA